AGAACGGCGCAAACGCAATCGTTATCACATGTCAAATAGTTGTAAGTTCATGAATAGCTTTCAAATGCCCAATTGAAACGGATTGCGTTTTATTTTAAAATTTGACAGTTAGGTCCCAGGTTATCGGATCATAGACGACAAACAAAACGCAAAGATTTCTCTTAAATACAGCCTTCGGTGTCAATAAAAGTCTATTTCATTATAAAATAAGCAGAGATGTGACTTATCTTAGATATAAGTATTTGAAATACAGATACAAGATACAAAATACGTATTTTCATCTTGTATCTAAAATACTTTTTTTAGGAAGAATTTTGTATCTTTTATTTAAATACTTTTGTTTAGTATCTTAGTATCTTTTAAATACTTTTTCTGATAAAATACTTTATAAAAAGATTATTTCTTACATTTTATAAATATCACAAAATATTCTTTGCCTAAAACATACATATTTACAAAAAGAAAGTGTTCAATTATCAACGCAATGAATAATACCCACTGCTTTTCAACTAATTCGTCATAAAAATAAATTTGTTAATAGAAAAAATTCTTCAAATAATTTCTTTGACATCGTCAATTAATACTCCTTTATTTTTCAAAAATACAACACAATCTGTGATGTAATCGTATAGTAGATTTTGCTTTAATAAGTAACCATTTAATTCAAGGGATCTTTATTGAGAAACAACAAAAAAATGGGCGGAGTCCTGTCTTAATATTAGGTCTTTACCTATGTAATTGTCGTTCTGCTGTACAAGCCATTTAAAATCAAACTATTTTTTTTGGCTGATAATTCTAATATCAAATTATTTTTTCTAAAATCGTCATTTGTTCAATAGTAAGTGTTTTGTTTTCAATGCATTTGAATATTTTTCGTCGTCATGGATAGTAAAAAATTCGAGTAATTATGGAGTATGTGTGCCATCGTGTCAGCAAAGCGGCACGCAACATTACAACGTTTGCAGAGCGAACACTACAAACGAACGCACCACCCGTTATTGGTTTGCCCGTTATTGGTTTACGAAAAGGTTGCTGATTTGTGGTCTAACGCGGATGTATTTCATCACAGCTTCTTACCAAACAGGACGAGCATTACTGCAGATTTACTGTGTGTATTGTGAAGAACTGAACACAATGACGGAGAAGCTGGCATAACTCCAAGGTTTTGTCAATCGTTCGGTTCCACTGCTCCTGCACGACCACGTACGACCTCATACTACACAATTGGCGGTACCCGAGCTACAAGAGCTGGGTTTTGAAGTTCTCCGTCATCCGCCGTACTTAACAGACCATGCGCCTACAGACTTCTAATTCTTCCAGAATTTGGAATACGTCTTAGTGGGAAAAAAATAAATTCCGAGAGGCAGTACAAAATGCCTTTGAAGTATTTGTTTACAAAATGCCTTTGATTTCTTCAAGAAGGCATCATTTAGCTACCAATGCGTTGGCAAAGATGTATTGATTGCATGGGTGATTACTTTGATTAATAGAAATAAGAAAATAAAGCTTCATTTATTTTATTCAAAACGGAAATTTCATAGATAAAGACTTAATTAATACTTCAAATCCGGTTGAGACCGGATTTATCCGATCAGATGGTAATTAATGGCGCATTACCAACAGTACCAGCAATACCAACTCTACGTCTTTTTAGGTACATCTACGTATTATAAGCCTTTCCTACAAACCAACGTACTATAATCAACCACAGAAGTTAAGTATTTTCTACTAAAAATTTTCAAATTAGCTTAACACACTAAAAGGGCATAATTTTCGGTAGTTCTGCAAAAAAAGTTAAATATACGTTCCGTTACATACTATCGCACATTCACCTCGTCACAAGTCACGCCATTAATTTTAGAAACCAAGTACTGTATTTATTTTTACCCACTCTCTTCATCTCACTATGAAAAAATGAATTTTCAGTTCTCCTTAATTTTACGTCGTACGTAAAACCAGCTTTTTAAATAAATAATAATTTTATAATTAAATTTAAATAATTATTCTTGTTGTTATATTTTAGCAAATTTTCATTCACAATGCTATATTGAAAAAAAATATTATTAAAAAGGACAGTGGCGTAGCTACCAAGGGGCTAGGCGGGGCAGTGCCCTGGGGCCCTCAAGCTCAGGGGGCCCTCGAATCTTTACTAGAAAATCTCAATCGAACTCAACTTTTGAAAATTTCTCCCATCTTCAAAATAAAAATGACAGGTGACAACTCGAGTTTAATCATGGAAACTCAGTTGTGAGTAATTCCAAAGTTATAATTAGGTACCCTCCTTTGCGTCGCCCAGTCGGGTAAAAAGGGAATACCCGTAAATTATTTGTGTGGGTTGACAGTGTTATTAATGTTTTCATCAATTTTTTGGATATCAATATCTGCATATTAATTATTTATCGATATGCGTTTTTGTGATTCGTGATTTGAACTTCGAGTCAAGATTTTTTTCGAGAATGGTTAAAAAGTTATTGTATCAGGAGTAAGTGAGCGTATGTCAATAATTTTTTTGTACCGTTACATACAAAAGTTCAATTTTATTTTATTGTAGTCCATCAAACCTTCAAATGTGGTAACACTGGCGGCCCAACGACGTCTTGTATCGTATCATTACGTTTCGCTTTCCTTTTACTTGTAACGTTGTCAGTGAACAGTGAGTACCTACTTGAGTACAATCTTACATAAATATTGCATAAATAAATTAGAAAACTAATATTATGGACAAAAAAAAATTGGTGCATTTAAACGCAAACAACGCCAAGAAAGAGGAGAAAGTAAACAAAAATTGCCCAAAATTGACAAGTTTTTTAGTCTGCCTTCTGCAAGTACTTCTGAACCAAATATTTCTATTGATAATTTTTAAATAATAGTAAGCTTGTGCAACGTATCTATGAATAAATAAATATATAATAAACCCTTGAATCTTTTATATTTCGTTTTATTGCCCAATACCTACACCAAGTACAAAAATAATTGTAATTTATGTTGTTAGTGTTTAATAGTTTTATTACCTGCCTATGCACGAGAAAGAGCTGATGATAAAGTTGCTTAGCATTTTTAAAGTATTTGTATATTTAATGATTTTACTTCAAAAAGCCTTACCAATTTTGATAGCAGTGGGCCCCATTTTTTTATTTGCCCCAGGGCCCTAGATTACCTAGCTACGCCACTGAAAAAGGAACTAAAAAATTTAAATAATTTAAACCTGATATATTAAATATTTGCATTTTTATATGTTACATTGTGATTGACAAACAAATAAAACGGAGGAAAAGTGGGTGAAATTTAGCTTGTAAGATTTGAGTACAAACACAGAAAACTAAATAAAAGCTTACAAAAATTGTTTCTAATGAAAAATGCTTAAAAAATCCACTTTGTCCCTGGAACCATCTGGTCTAAGATATAGGTTTTTGTGGTCTTTAATAAACAAACTTAAATTCAAATCTTTTTTTAGAAAAGTATTTGTATTTATAAAAAGTATTTATAAGATACCTATTTTGTATCTAGTATTTCCAATACTTTTCTCGAAAGTATTTCGTATCTGGTATCTGAAATACTTAATTTAAAAGTATTTTGTATCTTGTATTCCAGATACTTTGTACAGGGTATTTTGTACATCTCTGAAAATAAGTCACCTCACCTTTACATTGTTGACTTTAAGGCAACATGAGACAGTTCTAAGAAATCGTAACAAATCAATATTGTAATTGGATATAAGCATAGAATAGACGCTCTGAACTGTGTATGTAAGGTTTTGTCGTATAATAAACTATTGTATGATGCAACAATGATGTTACAATATCAATTGTTTCGCTAGGTCGATACCTATACCACCTATACCCATCGATAGACGACCCCTTTATTACTGAAATTTAAAAAATTAAACAGATTCCACAATAGTCAATCTATACTATTGATGTGTCTACTACAGAACATTTCAGTAAAAATATTAACGCTAATACCACCAATTCCTATTATACAAGCAATATGATATAGTTAAAATGATATAGTTAAAATGATATAGTTAAAATGATATAGTTAAAATAAAACTCGCGCCATCCACCATACTATACCCGAGCTCCACCAATTATTATCGTATGTTTGGACATCGTTGTCAATTGGTAGTGTCTTAATGCGTTCAGATTTCATTGCTTACCCCATAAGGAATATGGCGTGAAGATAAAGACAGATAATCCATTATTTTAGTATCAGAATTATATTTTTTTATCATAGTCTGTTTTCATCTGTGTAATTTAATTTTGTGATAAAAATTATTCAAATTCGATTAAATAAATTGAACTTACAATATAATTTGTTACTTAACGTACTCGATATCTAAAAAGAAGTACTTACTTACAGAAAAATCTCCAAGAAATTTCATTAAAGCAAAAAAAAAGCTCTGCATTTTTTTACTTTTACGTAATCCATTAAGATAGGATCCTTTTGATGGGATTCATTGAAATCATTGAAACGATAGAAATCTCAAAGGTAATACGGAATTAGGCTTATTTAATGTTTACAAAGATCTGAACGGAGTTATACTACTATAAAAGTATAAAGAACGTCCTTTTTTTTTAGTATCTACGCACTCCGTTTTAATAATTAACGCGTACTTTCATTTTTAATGTAAATAACTTTCTTTTCAGCTAAGTGTAAATTCGGGTCGTAAAAATTTAAACTGTGTGGAACGGAACGCGAAGTCAACAAAGGACAAAATTATCGTTTCCTAACACGTACATTAGTCATGGAAATGGAAAAAGCGGCACCAATTTAGCTTAGCAGCTGAAAACAAAGGAGCACTTTCTTCTTCAAAACAAATTTACACGTGGTACGTGGATACAAATTCTTATTTAATAGCAAGAGCGCTGGCTGCAAGGGTCGCCCTTCGTTAAATAAAAATAAAAAAAAGAAAATCTCATTTTGGCAGTTGTCAAAAGAGGCGGGAAAAGCGTCATTCGAATTTTATTCCAAAAAGTTCTTTTGAGTGATTATTTAAGAAAATGTTCAGAACGGCAACAGTTATTTTAATGTTATTATCGTGTTGTTATTGCCTTGATGATAGCAGCAACGAGTTGGAGGATGGTCGAGCTAAAAAGAAAAAAAGTCCTGCCAGACTGTGGGGTGAGTGGTTAATTTCACTAATTGTGTTTTATGAGAGTCGATCTACGTCATGAAAATTACAAAAAGTGGAGTGTAACGGATGCGCAGACAATTATTATTCGTTTTTACTGTCAAGTAATATCCCTATAGTTTTAAATTGATGATTGTATCTTTTATTGTTGACTAGGTGTTATCCCGTGACTTCGCATCCGCGTATGATGTAGCTTCCCGTATAAAAAAGAATTTTCATCATCGGATCAGTATTCCCGAAGACTACTCTCTACAAATAAAAAAACAAAATTAGAAAGCTTACCTCTCTATAATATCAATATAAATGAAATCTGTATTATGATCTATGCTATATTATATTATCTTGCTATATTCAAAATGATAAATTATTAATTTATAGGAAGAAAATGATAAATTGTTATTAAAAAAAAATCATTTTTCTTTAAGATTAATCTGAGATCATTAAAACATAAAATTTTACGTCAAGATTTGTTTGTAAAGCTAGAAAAAATATTATTATAAAGCGTTATGGGCATTATTATCTCTGAAATTATAACAGTAGTGCTATAGGTTCTATAGGTACTAATATTATAAAATGTTTGTTGGTTTCCATTGAATAAACTACTGGATCAATCGAATATACTACGAATCCTGTTTTAACAAAATCCTCTCCTGTGACTTGCCCATATGAAACTTGCAAATCAAACACGCTAACCATTGAGCCGTCGTGCTCCTATTCTAATTACCGATGTTTAGTTAAAATTTATAATACTTTGTGATCCGTATGCCAATTGTTTTTGTGAGCTTTGTTTATAATCTTCATATTATCGTCCAAAATATTATGTATAATTCAGAAGGTTTTATTAATAGCATACAGGTATTATGACATAAAAGTAAACCTTATAATAATAGCCGGTAAATTTGAATAGCATTGAAAAAGGTAGAATCATAAAAAATCCTCCAGAGATATTCTTTTGATGGGAGTTTTTAATAATCTAAGTGGTCTTTGAGAGTTAAGACGCGATTTCATTTTGTCCACGGTGATATTAGGAATTTCTTTTTGATGTAACATTTTTCATTATCCTGCGAATAATTAGGTATGAGGATTTCAATAACTTGTTCATAATATTGGTGGAACAATAATTTTTTTATTAGCAAAGCAGTTGTCACAATAATAAATAAATAAATCACATACATTACTCATATTAAGTAACTAAGGCACTTGTATTATGGAAATCTAAAACAACAAAAGTAACACAACACCCAGATTGGAAACAATAGAGTAATTTTCTACACCGACCCGACCAGGACTCGAATTCAGGACCTTCAGAGATGGCGACATTTTGTCACTCGATGACGGAGGTCGGTCACTGTCTTTCTTATCTTCTTTTATATATAAAAATCAATTGCTGTACGACTTAAGTGTATTTGGTTTTGTAATATTTTTAACCAGTGAGAAGTGATATTAAATAAAAAACCCATGTTTTGTACACATATGAACATGGTGTAAAAACCAAATAGGTAAAATGTTATAAAGATTTGTTGTGTTTACATTAATCAAGCGATTTTCATGTTGGTCAAAAAATAGGACAAGATCTTTATTAAATATTATATAAGCTAATAAGGTCACAGATAATGAAATATAAATACATTATTATTATTATTCTCTGGGAATAAATGGATATAATGGATTAGGTATCAAGCCTTTATTAAAGTTAAACGGTTTTTAAGTTTAAGCAGCAGTGCTCCAGAAGTGACTTTCCTTATATCTCACGCTACGTACACAATTTGCCCCTCAAGTAAAAGTCTGATTGGATTTCTATGTATATATACCTTGATGCTGGAACTAGTGGCATTTATAAGTTAAAGTACGAGTATTTTAGTATCGCGCTATTAAATCTCATATGATAATACTGTGTTTTTAAGTCTGTTTTTATTGTTTGTTCATACAATTTTTCAGAAAACAAATAAATTTTTATTTTAGATGATTTTCTAAGTGTTATATCATAATTTACTTGCCTACTATTGAAATATAGTAACAGTAGAAGTGATTTCCGTAATTATTATAAGAGCTCTAATGCTCAATTTCAGGAACTCATTTAAACATCCTATTACCGTCTTCAGCACAAATAATTCTAGACTTTTTATATTTATTATTCCCTTCGTCACTGCCGGCACAATTCTAAATGCAATATTTCATTCGTTTTACACAGAAATGGTCGATAAACTATCACAATGAATTTTACATAAAATTTAAATGTTTCATACATTTCTACCTTTTTGAAAAAAAGTAAAATGGTTTCAAGCAAAATTAGTTGTCTCTTTTAAACATCAAGTATTGGCAGAATGCATTCGTAAAACGGCATAATAAAAAAGTTGCATATTTTATGTTGATATCTTACTAAAATCTCTAAAACTACCTGGAGAGCTCCAATCCAAGATATTCCAAGTTTATAACTTAAGGGTCAGAATAGATCGAAGCGTGGTTGCTCTACCCGACGACATTCTTTGGTAGGGAGGAGAGGATCCGATATCCAGTAACAAACCAGCTGGACCCCTTATTTAGATTAGAAATATAGTAGAAGAACTTATATTTTGTTTCCATTGCAGCTTTGCTCCTGTTCCTTGGAATTGCGAAGGTCGCTGTGGTCAAGGTCGTTTCCTTCTTCCTCTTCGCTGCATTCTTCCAGAAGGTCTTCTACTTCCTGGGACTATTTCTCAAACACTACCTGAAAGCCCCGAAGGCACCACAAACAGCGTATGGCCCACCTCAAGATTATAACACTGTGGGGTACAGCTACGGACCTCCAGAGCACGAAGCATTAATGGACCACGAGAATCTGCCGAGCATCACGGAGTTAGGGGGCTCATTAAATTGGTTATTCAATAAGAATGCTAATTAATATTACATGGTATGGATTAAATTATTTATTTATTGAGACATGTTTTACTTTATCAAAGTGAATAATACAGCAGGTCTGGTTGGTTACGAAAAATATTTAAGCTTTTATTGCATAAGCAATATTAATTAATAATAAATACATTTAATAAAATATTTATAAGTAGATAAATTGAGTACATATCAGGAACATTAGGTTATTTAAATCTGGAGGGTGAGTATCCTGATGAGTTGATCACAGCTTTCTAGGTCTCATTCCCTAGTAGAGGTTTTAATGGGTAGGTCTTCAGTAGGCCACCTGGCGAGCGACAGGTTAAGTATGGGACTCTCCTCCATTATTAATATCGATGGGGGATTTTAAAATACTCAAAATTCCACTCGCCCCAGAACGCGTAACGTGAAGAACTCGAGAACGTTTTGTCTGCACCAAATGTCTATTATCTCGGGTTAAGGATGAGATGTTGCATGAGCGCACCCGAGAAAAGTGACATTTGGGTGTAGACATAACATGCATTTTCCAGTAAAGACGTTTATCAGTATATCATTGTGAATACAAAATTAATAAAACAAATAATATATTTATAGAAAATAGTGTTTGATTTTTACGGAAACAAAGAATTTATTCAATATGTGGCAAATGCGGTAATATATCGTGTTCCAGTGTGAACTCAATATTAGGCGCAACGCCATTATAGCATACTTAGAATTTCGAACAAACAAAATCTACGGGTAACCAAGGTTTTCTTTTAATTGAACCTCTATGCTGTCACAGCTGTTCGACAATTTCTAGGCTGCATATCGGCGCCATAAAGCAGACACATAATAAATCCACAAATCCAAAATTGTTTTTTAGAGAAAAAATGTTACTTCCGTATTAATTGACTTATGGTTACCATTTTTATTGCCATGGATGAACATAAGATTTTTATTCGGAAAAATAAGAAATTATGTATATATTCTCCTCTAAAGAACAATTTTTCGCTTTGCGGGTGTTTGCTTTGAAGCATCGATATGTTTAATATGGATAACAGTGAGTAGCTCGGTGGCGTAGTGGATAATCGCCGCGGCCCGCGATCGTTATCGTTAAGCAACTTTCGCAAGGGTCGGTCACGGAATGGGTGCCAAAAAAAAATTATCTCGAGCTACTCCGTGCTTCGGAAGGCACGTTAAGCCGTTGGTCCCGGCTGCATTTGAGGTCGTTAATACCCTCCGATCCGCATTGGGCCAGCGTGGAGGGTCATGGCCCATCCTCCTTAACCATCCATAAGGAAGGCCTGAGCCCCTGCAGTGGGGACGTAAAAGGGCTGATGATGATGATGATGGATAACAGAGTAAACAGACGAGAAAGCATAATGCACAATTTTTTTTAATATTTTAGCTTAATTACTCGTAAACCACTACAACGGTCACAAAACGACTCATATACTCATTAATATGGCTATAAGGAAAGACAATAATAATGAGAAGGAACTTAAAAAGTGAACTTTGGATTTTTTGTATTGAGAAAAAGAAATACAAATTCACCTTTTGGAGTTACAGTTTTCTAATTTTCAATCACAGCTTATTTATATGTTATTATACAACACCTTAGAAATTAAGGATTGATTATTAAACACTACGTTTTTAAAATACCTCGATTATTACGAAATATTGAGTAGCTCAGTAGCGTAGTGGATAAGCGCCGCTGCCCGTGAAAATTGTTGTTAAGCAACTTTCGTAGAGGTCTGTCAAGGGATGGATGACCAAAAAATTATTAGCTCGAGATAATAATTTTTTGTATAACTCCATGCTTCGGTAGGCACGTTTAGCCGTAAGTCCCGGCTGCATTTACAGTCGTTAATACTCTCCAATCCGCATTGGGCCAGCGTGGAAGGTTATGACCGACCCTTCCTAACCATCCATAAGGAAGGCCTGAGTCTACCGAGAGGACATAAAAAGAGCTGATGATGATAATTACGTAAACAAATTCAATATCAAATTTGTATTCAGGGACCTAGTAAGGTCGAAATTTGTTTGCGTTACATTTGTAATCTAAGAGCTTGACTGCAATGTTCAGCCCTAATACCCGTATACAACTTTTTTCAAACATTTTTCTTTAAATTTTTAATCCACTTTTACCAGTCGTGTTTTTTGAATTTTAAATTATGTATTTTTATACAATATTTTATTAATTAGTTTGTTGTAATTAGTAATACAATGTAGTTTTCTTATTCTTAATCACAACAGTTTAATCTGACTTAGTTTTACTTACATTAATTGATATAGGTAAATGATTTGCTTTAAACGCTCTCTTAAGTGTTTGTGTTCCTTTGCGAAGAAAGGTGTCCGCTTACTAAGGATCCATTTACATAGTAACGGCACAGGTTCATTACTTATTTAACATACAGCTTGTTTAGAAACATCTCTTGAATAATTTCAGAGTGAATATACACATTACCAAATTATTCTTCGTTTTAATGGACTACTTGCTTAAGACGTTTCAATGTGTATTATATTGAAAAGAACATTTTACAGACCAGTGTTTTGTACATCTTATGAGTATAGAACCGTAGATGAAGCGAATGGAAAAGTTTGATAACCGCTGCCCATCATAATTTCCATTAATAAAATAAATATATTGTTTTATCTAGTTATTACTTAATTGAACTTAATGTAAATTACTAAACAAGTTACAATAACGCTTTAAACTTAACAGAAAGATATCGTGTAAAGAGTCTTAAGTAAACTTGTTTCATTTTTCAAACAACTTAAGTCTTTCAAAGTATAAAGGAGAAACAGTGTAAGTAAATTGATTAAGATAAACTGAAGTTGGAAATAAGTTAGTGAACTTTTAAAAGGAAATCTAACGCTTTTATTTGCGTACATCAAATATTGATTTTATTGATTTTTATCTATCTTAAATATAGAGAAATTCTATATGTTAGAGAGCACTATTATGTTAGTTATTTGAGCGTCAGTTAGATATGTCTGGCCGACGCTAGTCGCAGTGGTCGGTAAGGAACTAGTTTTCGTACATTTTCATATAAGGTGGATGCACCAGTCTCACACCAAAAACTTGTACTAAGTACATCAATTCAATCTTCAAACCTAAATATATACTACTACCTAATACATACTAGACATTTACAAGTTAAAAGAAACAAGAAGAACTAGAAACAGCAGTGTACCTGTGTGCAGCAGTTGAGAAAAGTGTCTAGGCTCGGTGCACTAAAGTCACTTAATGCAGATTGCGACTTGCCAAATTATTTTTTTTATAAAAATAACCCTACATGATTATATGGTAAGTAAGGTGTACAATTTCTTTTTTGCAATGATTGTAACAATACAATAATTAAGTCATATAATCAAATTTAGTTTCAAAATGTATCTTTAATCGGTTTGCTGCTAGTTCACCAACCCTATTTTTAATAAGGGAGTGATCATACTAGTCCCCTCGTGCATATCACAGACAGTCAGCATACACCTCAAAGTCGTAAGAGGTCTGTGGAATCCTAAAAAGAGACGAATGGAGGCGTGATGAGCATATTCATTTATTTTCAGACCTGACTGTATAATAAACTAAGTCACTAACAACATTACCAAAAAGGCCTCTGCCTAATTACATATTTTCTTTTACTTAATTAATAAAAAAGATTTAATACGAAATGTTTTCTCATTTACTCTTTTTTACCCGACTGTCCTTATTAAATATATCGTTAAATGTTGTATGTCATTATTAAACTTTTTTCAAGTGAAATAAGTAATAATTGTTGTACGTGTTGTATTAGCGTATTATTGCCCCGCAAGGCATTTACATAGGGGTTGCGTTTTTCATAAAACGAATCCAATTACGTACTCGTAATCTTTTGTTCAGCCCCTTGTGCGAATTTGCGAACGAGTAGTAACGTTCGCGAAATTTCTTTTAGTAAGGAGTTCCGCATTATCTGAAAACAATAGAAATAAAGCGTGTGGAAGCTGCAGAAATAATTATATTCCTAGACGGGCCTTTAGGAATATTAAAACTCGCTCCTAATGGTAACAAATCAGGTTATTGTTAAATAAATAAAAAAGCATTCTGTCGATGTTTTTCGAAAATGTTATAAATACAAAATAATCCCCCATGTTGACTTGGTTTCTAATGGACAAAATGACGAACGAAATTGGATAGGAATACTCTTCAACGCCACTCTATAAAACTACTTCGACGACACTTCTTTGCTTAGGTACATCGTTCATTTGCGTAGAAGAAAAAGCGTTTAATTTTTCAAAGTGTTTCCAGAGTGTGGGAGATTGTAAAAGAAAACAAGTGCAACAACGAAGGTGTCGATGTAACAAGGATTATAACTTTTTTGTTAATCAGATTAATTAACGAAAATATTAATCATTTTTTTTTGTTTTTTTGTGAAAGCAATAAATTACACCTCTCTAACTTTAATGTCTGTTATCTAAATCAATGAGGAAGTATTTAAAAAAAAAACATTAGTTCACGAAATCTAACTAGATGTCGCCACGGTACGTTCTTGATTTCTCCATGGCAACCTTTCCGGTTTTCTTTCATGTTGAAAAATAAATTAGTTTTCAAAACTCAATAAACAACTCATATTCTATTTGTACTTTTTCGTATTTGTATTGATATCTAAGTTTCGTACTTATCGAATTTCAGTTTATTAATATGTTAGTTAATAGGAACGAAAACGACTATCTTTGGTCCATTCGTTTCCTGCAAAAAGCAACTTTTAATAGAGTCGCCATCTAGAGGACGTGCTTTTTAGTGCTATCGTTTCTTTTTTAATACTTCCTCATTCTTGTTAATTAGACAAGAAGTTAAAAAAACATATATCTTATAATTTTCCATTGAAGTTCTGACGGACTAAATAGATCTTTTATATTTCTCTGGTATTCTTGAATGTTACAAATCTTAGATTAATATTAAGTTTTATATCAAAGCAATTCAGATTTTGTGTAATGAAAAACATGAAATCAAAATAATTTAAGAGGTCTCAAATAGCATACAACGGATCCCTG